AATTTTCTCTTTGTGACTAGTTCAATTTAGGTTCACATTTTTCAGGAAAAACAATTCCAGCAGTACCCCTCATTTTACGTTTATCTGTTAACTTCATTAAACCATAAGCTTCTTCAGGACAAGGACTAAGCGAATGCTTTCTGCAATTCTGGATCCTTAGAAGTCTTTGTTTAGTACCTGGCACACAGGACCCATCCAAAACATGCTTCCTGAATAAACATTCAAGGCACATTTCATTTGACATGTGGGTGATAGCTACCATCACAATCTTCAAAAAAAAAAAAAGCCCGTGAATTTTCTTTTACCCTTTATTGCTTTCCTTTTTGAGTCTTGTTCCTATCTCTCAGCACTTTCAACTATCCAAAATTCCCAATTACATACCCCTTCAAGCCCATTTCATATAAAATATCTCACCATCCTAAATAAATCTCCAATAGAGGACAATATGGCACATACAAAACAATAAATGAACATACTTTCTGACCCAGAAGGAATGTAGGCTGTTACACATGTAAAAAATGATCTGTGTACTATATAACTTCCTGTTTATATTAAATTGTTTCTAATCTTTCTTTTTTAAAGAGAGTAAAACAAAACAATAAAATGATACAAAGCAAAACGAGAATGATCTTAGATTTCAAAAACAAGCCAGCAGGAAATCAACAAGTTAGCCAAAGGTTCCGCTAGCCTGAGGTTTAGCTATGTCATCCCCACTTGGTACCAGCCCCAGAGAAACAACTTTTCTCTCCAAGAGTAACTTCTCTCTTCTCCTTCTCACCCCAGAGATAAACCTCCGCTCCCCTTTTGCGAGTGCGCCGAGCCCTATCCACCTCAAGACTCCGCAACTACCCAAGCCTCCATCGCAGCCCCCAGCAGCCCCCAGTAAATCTTTCTGTCTTCTGTTTCACACAGGCAGATGCTCCTTCAAGTCAGCGGTTAATACGTCCTTTTGCCCACCTCCCAAAGTCCCTGCCCAGCCAACACTGATAAAAGTAGTCCCACTTCTTTGCTCTCTGTTGAGAGCCTCTGTACCCCCTGCCCTGTAAAGCTCTCCCATGGCCACATTAAAGGCCTCCTCCTTTGTCTCCTTCCTTCTTCTCTCTCTCTCTTTCTCTTTTTCTGCGCTGCTTCAGACTGAGTGCCACAAATAGTCAGTTAGTATATTACACATTGTTTTCCTCTAAATAGTGGCTCAGACTACCACATTTAGGCATGCAAAGTTAATCAAACAAGATAAGCCCTAAATTGTTTCTTTACTTCAGTTGCTACCATTTCAGAAATTTCAGGTGTGCAGCTTCTAATTTCTTCTATGTCTACCAGACTTGTTCTGGGTGAGATACAGGTATGCAAAATTAATTAAGCAATACAAACACTAAGTGTATCTTTACTTCACTTGCTATCATTTCAGAAACTTCAAGTGTGACTTCCAATTTCTTTTGTGTCTATGTCTTGTGGACTTGTTCTGGGTGAGCTGGAGGTCTGAGGTTGCACCTTGCTCCTGCATCTTGACACCTTTCTGGGTTCCTCTGAAACAGTGGGTTGCTTGCTACCTGTCCCGTGGTGAGGGAACTGGGCTAGGCAACTGGGTTCCTCTGATCCGAGGTTCCTGGAGAGGTATGGCATGGTTAATCACGGATGCCTCCCCAGATGGCAGCAGGGCCTTGGGGTGTGGCTTCCTCTTCTCCAGGCCCACGGCTGTGGCCTCACTAGGGACCTCTAATCTTTTATATGCATTTATCAATAGAACTGGTAAAGTATAATGACACTACTAGAAATGTAAGAACATACAGCCAACAACAAAAGCGTACTGAAACCCAATGAGATAGGCACCAATAATTAAAGGGAAAAAGTGAAATAAAGTAAAATAACAGAAAAAAGACACTAACTGAAAGTAAGTATATTAAGTGAAAAATCAAAGTAGAACAATGTTTGATATAGTAAACTTGTGCTTTAGAAAAAAACGTAAAGAAGGAACACATACATTGGCTTATACACTGAATATTACAAATAATTCAAAAGTAACAAGTAACATCAACTAAGAAGACAAAGAACTGCATACCAAGGGAACAAAAGTAAAAAAGCCTTCACTGCACAGGCATTTATTATTTTTGAAAACCTATGATGAACTTCAGAAACTGTGAAGGCATTACACTTACTTAGTATAAGAAAAAATTTAGAATGTTTCTTTAACGTCCCATCCTTTCCCGGACTGCCTTCAAACCAGGCTGAACAGGGAAAAGCAAACATGTTTATTCTGCCTAATCCCACTCTCCAAAAAGAAAAGCAAAACCTCAACTGCTGACAGCGAGTGCCAAAGCAACACTTAGTTTCTTTTTTCCCCAATTTAAACATACGTTTACAGTTTTCTTTATTAAAAAATCCTAAACAAGTTACTTTATCTGAACCTAAATTTCCTCAATTTGTTTCCTAAATTTTAATCACAGAAGGTGTGAATGTTAAATGAAGATCTGAGGGTTAAAACTCAGCACTCAATAAAACACGTAAAGTTCGTTTATGCACTCGTTTAACAAGCACCTCTTTGGCGCCCTTCCTGCCTGCCGCTCCCTGTGCTGGATGGGTACTGAATGCTGGACAGACAGAGAAGCAGAACTAACCTTTAGATAGCTATAGACACGAGGCATCTGGAAGGTGATGGAATCACGCTTTCTTACCCTGTCAATGGATTCATTCATTCCTAAGTTCCAGCTGAATGTGCTGTTTAGGGGTGCATCTTGGTTAGAGGAAATAAACTGTGGGCATGCCATTGGACAATCTATCTCTTCTCTGGCTCTCTTGCTCTCTGTGCTTCCTGGCTGCCAAGAATAGTCTTCCACCACACCCTTCCACCAGAAGGTCTCTGCTTTAGAGTCAGTCCACTGGGGACTGAAACCCCTGAACCCATGAGCCAAACAAAGCATGCTCTTCTTCTGTATTTGTATACATCAGGTAATAATTGTCCTAGTAATAAAAAGATTGCTAATACAATAAATAACTCAATTAACCATGAAATGTTCATGATTATCTCAATAAATATCTGATCCAAGCTCCTTTATATAGATGAAGAAACCCAAATGTCCCAAGAGCTACATCAACATCCTGTATATATTCCAAAAGCATAAGAGAAACAAAAGAATTATCAGAAAATTTATTATGTTCTCCCTCAAGTAGAACTAGATGAAGGACATAATCCTTTCCCTCTGCAAAGCAAGAGTGGATATAAAAGACACTGTGGCTTCACTGCACCAGTACTGAGAGACAGCAACGGTTTTACCACAGCGGAGCACCCTGGGTTAGGGAAGAGAGCATGAAATATAAATGTAAGTGGGCTACCTTTTACTTAGGGTAAAGAATATAACTCCTGGGCCAGCAAACCCCAAATGGTCTACTAGAGGCATGTGAAGAAGTGAGTCAGCGGCGCTCTGATGCAGTTACTAACTCTGGGAGTGGAGAGCTTGGCCTGAATATCTTTCCCCAGGAATAACACTGTATGTAACTTGCAAGAGAAAAAATTCAACTTCAGGGGGAGAGCGTTACCAGATCTAAGACCCTTGCCCTTGTTTCATATCTTTTTATCTGTTAACTCCATTAAACCATGAGATTCTTTAGATTCTTGCCCTCTAGCTCACAGTTAAGAACAAATACTTCAAAGTACAGAAAGGGACTTGAAAAATGACATCTACACAAAAACTTAAGGGAGGCTAATGGACAAAGTCATTTCAGGGAGATGATATACACAGGTGTTGCTTTGTATTTATTTATTTATTTATTTATTTGTTGGTGTTGGAAATTGACCTTGCACTTGCCAGACAGGTGCTGTGCCACTGAGCTGTATCCCTGACACAGGTATTGTTCTTAGATCAAGAATAAAAGAATATGGAGGTTTAGATGATAAAATCACCCCTACCCAAAAGACTGATAAAATTCAACACTTACTCCTAATTTGTAAAAGTCTTAGCAAACTGCAATATTAAAAAGTTTGAAATACTTTACTAAATTAAGGAAAAGGCATAAAATAATCCTTACACTGAGTGATCCACGATAGATAGCTTTCCCCTGAAATCACAAGTATGAAAAGGTATCTATCACTACTTCTCAGCATTGCATTAGAGGTCTCACCACGTGCAATAATTATTATCAGAAAAAATAAAAAGGAACCCAAGTGTGATGGTACACGCCCTGTAACCCAACATTTGAGAGGCTGAAGCAGGAGGATAGTCACAAGTTTGAGATCAGCCTCGGATACATAATGAGTTTAAGACTAGCCTAAACTAAACAGCAAAACTCTGAATCAAAAAAGCAAAAAATTAATTAATTTAAAAAAAATAGAATTATTATTTATAGATGACACAACTATGTATTCAGATAATCCAAAAGTAATCTATAAATTATTAGAATCAATAAATGAACTGATTACTAGATACAAAGTTGTTATATCAAAAAAATTAGTTTTTCTTGAACTAGCAACCAGCAGAAAACAAAACTTGAGTATCACAAGCAGTAACAAAAATATGTAAGACCTTTATAGTCAAAGCTTCAAAGTATTTTTATTTTTATTTACAAATAGAGAAACATGCCTAGTTCCTTACTAGAAGACATTAATATTGTAAAAATATCAGTATTCTCCAAAGTTATCTATTGACTCAATCAAATAAATAAAATCCGTATTTTTAATTCAAAAATTTATATAGAAAAACCCAAGAATAGTCAACATAATCTTCAAAAACAGTATTTTTTGGAAGACCTAATAAATACCAAGACTCATAACATTACAGTAATTAAAACATCATGATACTAGCTTAAAAACAAACAGATCAATGAAACAGAACAAAGATTCTAGAGACAGAGCCTCACATAAACAGCTACTTGATTGTTAATGCTGACACTGAAGGAATAAATATATTGCCAATAAATGATTCAGGATCAATTCAATATCTAAATTTTAAAAATGCAAGAAAACACATTTCAGGGCCAGGGATATAACTCCATGGCACAGCGCCTACCTGGCAAACACAAGGTTGTGTGGGCCAAAGATTCAGCTCAGCAACATACACACCTGCCTGGCAAGTACGTTGTTTTGAGTTCGATCCCGGTAACAAAAAAAAAAAAAAAAAAAAGATAAACACACTTTATACCACAATACAAAATCAGTTCCAGATGTAATGTGAAAGGTAAAACAAGAAACTTCTCAAACCCCACACACACACACACACACACACACACACACACACACACACACAAGGGGAAAAAAGGAGACAGCTGGATCCAGAGATTATTCAAAATTCCTAACCTTTAAGAAAAAACCTGAAGTTGAAGGACATTAAAACAAAGACACTATTCTCCGTCACTTCTGTATTCTTACTGTCACTTTTTTACACTTGGCAAATACAGGTTTATTTTAACATGTTTCCAAAGACCATTTCTTACTTTTTTCTATATTTCTAGTTTTCTGTGTATTATTTCCTTATATGATCCTTCCCTGCCTTGATTTTCAAACTTCTTGTTTTCAAACTTTCCTTTGGGTACTACTTTAGCAAAACACTCACTACTTTTGTTATATAGGGCTCTTATTCACTTATAAATGATTTGTAGTTATAACTGTAACCTCCATAATCAAGAGATTACTGAGAAGTCATCTTAAATTTTCAGGCAAATCTACTATTTTGGCTTTTGTTATTACGGACTTTAATCTGAGTGTTCATTGTGCATCTTCACATTGCCAATTTCCTGGAAAACTCCAGAAGTATTTTGAAAGAATGTTGCTCATTACAGAATTGAAATATATAAATCTGTTTTATCATATTATTCAAATTTTGCTTTCTTAATCCACAGTGATTTTATAGATTTCTTGTGTTTCTTTAAATATTTTAGCTTCATATAATGAAGATATTTTAATAGTTGCATAAGTTACATATCTTGGGGAATAGTACCTCTTACTATTATAAAATATCTCCTTCTTCCCTTAAACGCTTTGTAGTTTTTATTTTATCGCATATTCATCTTACCATATCTACCTTTTTGTTGTTATATTTGTCTTAGTCTATCACATTATTCTTGGCAGTTTAAGACTCTCTTAGGAAAAAAACAGATTTTCTGGCTTTTGTGTGTATATTTATCCATCTAAGAATATGTTTTCCAACAGGAGAATTTAATCCTTCAGATTTACAATGCATAAATATACTTATAATTGCCATAAATTAGATTTTTAAATTAAAGTTATACATGTGCAAAGTATAGTGTCAAACACTTCTATAAGAGTGTGATCATCAGGTATGGGAGAAACACTTCCCAACATTCAACCATTCTTACAGCCTGTACCACAGAAGCAAACACTTCACATATTAATCAAGTCTCTTGACACGTATTTAGTTTATGTAACTCCTACCCTTCACAGATGAAAGAAAAAAAATTACTGAGCTTAGCCAAAAAAAGTCACCACTACAAATCTTGGAAGACTTGGTGAACCACAACATGTACTTACACAAGCTTTAATGTTCTAATCTCCTCTCATTTGACATGTTCATCTTCTTATCAAATACAATGCCAAACTGAATGGTTCAATTCTCGTTGTAGTCTCCTGGAATACAGCTAAAATATACCATGCAAGGACAGAACAAAGCAGCCAAAACATAAAAGCATTTCTGATATTCATATATTGTATAATTTTGATATTTGATAAAATTTCCAACCATTGAATCACAGCTTCTCCTTGGTTCATGAGGATGAAAGCATCCCCTGAATTTCTTTCAGGGGAACACTTGCCTTGTAAAACTAAGTTATATGTATCTGAAAACACATTTAGCATGCCCTGTAATCACTGGATACTTTTTTTTTTCCTGTGGCACCAGGGATCAAACTCACGACCTTGCACTTGCCAGGCAGGCACGTTTGCCACTGGCTAAATCCTCCTTATAATCAAACTAGTAAGTTTTTAGACATCAAAATCTAGATGTCCAGATACATGGCATGAGGACCATGGTAGTTTCCAATCATCGTTAGCATTTCTGGTTACTGAAGAAAGTGGGGAATAGTTAAAAGATAAGGGCTTGACTGAGCAGAGGCAGAAGGGCCTCTCAATTATTTATTCCTTGTGTTGAAGCACAGAACACTACTTTGCAGAATCACGTGATCTGTATATAAGTCAACAACTCGTAGGCTCTATCTATGGTAAGGGTGGTTCACAGGTGATTAAAACCATTTGATCCAGAAAACGCCTCCCTGTTTCAGTGATCCTAATCTAAATTAGACAGAAACACCCAATTGTTTTGGACAACTATTTCCTCACGGGCACACAGTTTGCAGTCCACAGTTAGACTTGAAATTGTGAGTTCTCAGAGTACCTTCTTAGATTTCTGCCTGATGCTTAAGGCCCTTGATAACCTTTCCCCCATTCCATCATAAGGCAGAGGCAAGCTGGAGCTGACAATACTTACGTGAAGATGAGATCTAGCTAGAAAAACATACACGTGCTTTTTTTAAAGTGTAAGAAACAACTTTAATTATGGGGAGATTGAGTATATGAGACTAGAAAGGTTCACGTCTATATACGTAAGAAATAAAAGTAAAATGTATCATGAAAGAGAAAAACGCAAAGTAATGGAAAGAAAAACACCATTTATTCTAAGAAAGTGACCTATGGTACTGTTACATTTTCAGTATCAGTACCAATTTTACAATGCTTTGGTGAGACTTACAACCAGAAATTATCTCTGCTCATTGAGAAACATAAGCAAACTGGCCCCTGGTCTGTAATTTTGTTCCACATGTAAAATGAGATGAAATAACTAAACTACTTTAACTTGTTTATTTTGGCAAAATAATTATATATAATTACTGTTGAAGGAAATCTACAACAGACCATCTTGATGTTTTTATTTAAATCTGTTACACATTGAATAACAAAATTAAAATGTCAGTTTCTCAACTGGAGAATACTCAAATCAACAGCCATGTGCTAAACAAAAAGACTCAATTAGAGCACATTATAGTTCAATTTGGGAATGAATACATCACAAAAAAACCCATCCATATATATATATATATATTGTGTGTGTGTGTGTGCGCACGCGCACGCGCTTTACAGACTTTTTTCCTTTTTCCTCTTCTGGTTTAGCTGCTCTCCCACATACGTACACGAATCCAAGCTATATATAGTTCTGCTTTTTCTCATGGGACCTATTTGTATTTCAATGCATATTTAAGGATCTTATACTGTAGAAATGTAACAGGATGCTTGCACAAGGTGTCTTAGAACTATAAATACACACTATTATGTAACCAGTGAGGTTCACACCTAGGAAATCTAGATGGAATGGCTACCCTGAAGCGAATGAACAAAAATAAAAAAGGTTTAATCCTTTTGGTGAGAACTAGGAAACACTGAAACAGACCAAAAGTAGCCAGCAATTGCACGAAAGTAAAGCCTTTTAAAGCATACAAAATGATAAAAACAAATTGTTCACTTTATTTCTCAATGGTTCCTATACAAAGTGTAAATTCTGTTTAAGTATAGAGAGGAACTTGTTTTTCCCAACAAAATCAGAAAGCTTCTAACCAAAGAATGCCCTCCTGTGCATATATATTGCTATCCTTCGTGTGAATATCAGGGGTACTGAGACAGCACAGTTGGGCCACAATCTCTGGGTAAGTATAACCTCTCCTAAAGTTGTCACCCTCAATATCCATCACCCAAACCTGATGCAGCTCTTATAAAGCAATTCTCTAGTCCTGATCTACTTGAGACTCTTTAGAGAAAACTTCGTCCGGCTCTGTTCACCTTTGGTGGTAGCAGTCTGGTGGTATCTGCCAAATGGAGACAGGCCAAATGATAAGGACATTAGGAAAATGTCTTTGTAAGCCAACCCGAATAGTTTCACGTTGCTCTCTATTCGTACCCTCTAGAGTTTAGCAAAGCTTGATGTAAACATCCTAGCCTTACATCAGCTGTTCCACTGGTATCAGGGAAACACCAGTGTGTCCGTGTTGGTTCAGTGCCTTATCATGGAGAAGAAAGATGGTGGCAGTAGTGCCAAGCTGAACCCCCAGGACAGGTTACCCTGGACGCCCAAGAATGAGTGTCAAAGACTGCCAACACCTGCAACACCCCTAAACACACGGAGATTCTCTGTGCAGTGCGTCCTGGGTTTTAATGAAGGTGGCAGACTCCTCATGAATTCTCAATAATAGGCAACGAAATCTGTGTAAATTATCCTGAAAGCTAAGAATTGTATACACAAATGCCACAACATTCCTCCTCTAAAGTTACAGATAACTTTTCCTTTCCTCCCTTTACTTACTGGTTCTCCTCTTTTTGTGGTCATTAGTGTAGGTCTTACTGAATTTTGTTATTTCAAACTTAATAAATCCTTTTTGTGAAAATGACCAAAGTACAATCAATAAATTTTTTTCATACAATGAGGTGATTACAAGACAGTGCTCATCTTTAAATCACCATCTTAAGGAGGTTTAGCCTGTAAGCAAGGAAGTCTGGCCTATTTCCTATAGTACACAGAATTGTAAAGTAGAACCGAGCAGAGAATCAAGTCCAACCTCCTGCCTAATACAAGAAATTTCTTTTACTTCTCAGGCAAGAGGCTATGGAGATGCTGCCTGAGTATTTCCATGACAGAGAACCACGTGCCTCAAAATGTCCCATTATATGATAGTCAATATTGATAAAAAGCCCTTCCTTATATTGAACTGACACTGGCTTCTCAGCCTATTAGTCCGTTTTTGTTCTTCCAAAAGACGGTCTTTCACTCACTGAATATCTACTGATGGCAGGCTTGGCTTGATATTTTATTGATATTACTTTATAATGTCTTCACATTGACCTGGTAAGGTAGGTCACTTATAAAGTGAGACCCAGAGAGATACACTGATGAAAATTTAACTTCAGACAAGTAGGTTGAGCTTCATACACTTATTCTTATAAACAAAGAATTTATTACGTTTCTGGGAACCAAGTCACATGAATTCAATCTGCTTGCAATACTGAAAGGAAAATGAACTTTCAATTAGATCAGTACAAACAGAAACGTAAAGATGGCCTAGAAATACAACAGTACCAGTGTTTAGTTCATAAAACAAAATAGTAATAGTATATTACTTAATAAGACAGCTATCAAGACACTCATAAGAGATAGCAAATATGATGTCTGTAACATTAGCAACCTTGACTTGAAGCCAGTTAATATAATATTCCAGAAAAATCTCATCTTCTGCCTCAACCAGGACCAGGGCAGAGTCCCAAGACATTAAACATTTTACTAAGATCACATTCTAAATACATATTCCTGGGGCTAGGATTTAGCTCAGCAGCCTAAGTGCCTGCCTGGCAAGCACGAGGTTGCGAGTTCAATCCCCAGTACCAAATAAATAAATAAATAAATACATACATACATATTCCTTCAGTATTAGGGAAGTGGGAGGAAAACAGGTAACAGGCCCGCAACATAGGAAGGAAGACCCTAGTGAACTAAGCAGAGAAACAAAATCAAGCTTCCAGATTAGAATACTGCATATAAAGTGACTTTTTAAACCAACAGAATCTGAAAGAAAAAGAGAGTAAGGTAAAAGGACAATACAGCTAAGTCTTTTTGGTCTAGGCTCTCCTCCATTTCCAACCAAGCTCCTCTTTTATCTTTAGACCCTACCGAGCAATTCCATTTGGCTACTCAACTGCTCAGGTTAGAATTCATTTCCTTTTCATGTTTCTCTTTTGTAATTGTTGCAGTGCTAAGATTGAATCCTGGGCCTGCACAAGCTAGGCAAGCACTCTATCTCTGAGCCATACACCAGCCCAGCATCCTATTTCTTAAAAGTAAGTCTGCCTGCTAGTTTTTCCATACTTCCTGTCATGCTGATCACTACTAAATATTTGCTAAGAATAAATTAGCTATTTCTTCTACAAGCCAAGACTCTTTGCCAACTAACAAACACTAGCTTTGGTAACTGTTCAAACAGAATGAGTAAAGAATATGAAAAACCAAAATGTTAATGATGGCTAATAATAGCTCCCCCCTCTTTTCTCTTTTTCAAATTTTCAGTTATTTTCAGCGCTTGTGTTACTTTTAGAAGAGCTCACTATGAATATACATAAACCAATGCAAACAGCAAATAATCAACTATCACTGGACTCAGTGAGCTCACCTTAAAAAATAATGCCAAAGATTACAAGCATCCAAGTAAACTGAAATTGTGAAGAAAGAGCCAAATTGTAATCAACAATAGATAAAGCAAATTCTCAGAGGTTAAAGAGGAGGGGGAATCACTTCCTGCCAGCAGGCATCACGATATCTGACTTAAACTTACACTACAAAACAACAGTGATAAAAACAGCATGGTATTAGCACAAAAACAGACATGTGGATCACTGGAACAAAACAGAGGAAACAGAAACATTCTCAGACATACTCAGACATATCTCAGACATATCTAATCTCCCGACAAAGGAGCCAAGAACATGTGTTGGAGGTAAGGTAGCCCATCTAACAAATGATGTTAGGAAAACTGGCCATCTATATGCAGAAGGTTAAACTTGGGCCTCTA